GAGGCAATGAGGGGGGAGGAGAGAATTAGTTGGCTTGCAAGGGCGGGTGATGGGTGGGTATGGGCGGGGCGGGCTGGCGATGGTGTGGGGCGATGACCGGGGTGGGCGAAGGCAGACGAATAGTGTGGCCGGTGGGCGGGCCAGAGGAATTTTTGGTCCGCGTGAGGCGGAACGTGCATGTGAGGGGCGTTTCTCGATGAGGAGGAGGGGTTTGTCGCGGAGGGGCGAAGGGCTGGCTGGTGGCCAGGCCAGGAGGAATTATTAGACCGTAACCGCACAATGGGTCGGAGCGTGAGGGTGGATGGGCGTTTTGGTCCCTCCCTCACGATCGCCAGCACTTGTGACAATGGAGAGTTTCTGCACAGCACCAAACAGGGAGAGGTAGCTCACGGTACGAACTGGTGTAACTACAGTGCTTCCGACCGGGAGGACCTAGGTTCAATCCCCAACGGTGGCAGGACATTCGAAACTAGCTACATGGCTACATCGAATTCAGATTCTGTCTGCAGGAGAATTGTAGTGGTCGGCTGTTCTGATGGTAGTTTTACGTTGTTCTCCGATCAAGACCAAGCGAAAGCCGGGGCAGTACTCTAACGAACGGGCCACGGACCGCGCGAGATCTTTCCTTCCTCTACCTTGTCCTATCCTCATCCTTTAGTTACATACACTTACACTTAAAAGCACGACTCTACCATACATGTCTAGAGACCGGTCGGAAGCTTAGAGCTTGTCCCGGCTGGGACGGAGCTCCGCTGGTGGGAGATATCTGGTTGAGGAAAACCCTTTAACCATAGGTAGGTCGGCGCCTGAACTCACTATTCAGCGGAGGACGATGATCACCACCTCCTGAGGAAAAACCATGCACGAAATTTACGGGACAAATGACCTTAGCAGTTGACACACCCGGTATCATTAAAAATCAATCATATTTGGGACAATAAAGAGTGCGCAGGAAAAATAGGACATGTTTGTAACAATATATTCCCGTGATGCACCAATTAATAGATGTTGGTTGGCAACTCTAGTAGAACAATTGTGAAACGAGAGGATGTAGCTATGGGGGGAAAGGTGCGTTAACAGAACTCTACCGCCATACTTTCGAACTAATTCCATTTTAAACGGAACATTGTGCAAAGAACATTTTTGGTCTTCACTCGACACTAGTCACTTGTTATATTAGGCACGTATAACTCACTAAATGCAACCGTCCCCCATTCATTCCTCTCTCTGCTCTATTTCCTCTCAATTGCAACTCGTTTCCTTCTTCCACATTACGCATTACATCGTTAATCATTGCTGTTTGTCCTTCGCTCGCTCGTCCACCTTCTACCATCTCCTTGTGTTCTTTCTAGTCACTCTACCTTCTTCGCCCTTCCTTCACCATCTGCATGCAATTCTATTTCAATCCATTACGCTTCTCTACTAATTCTCACCACTAAAATACCGAATGCACTTTTCTTTCCACTTTTCATTTTAAATCGTCTTATCCTTCACTATCTAAATCGTTTTATCCGTCAGTTTTATGTTTTTAATTGGCAAAGTTCCTTTAAGTATATTAAGTCGATTTCCTTCCCTTGTCTTCATGTCCCTGTTATTGTTAATAACATTTTTAATTATCCAACATTTTATATAACTCCTACCGGAGTAGCTAACCCTCTTTCTGATTAACATTGACACTACTAACAAATCTCTTTCAAGTTAAATGTCCAAGGAAACTTGTAAACGAGGTAACAAAACAAATGCTTTTCTAATTCAGTGGAATTTGTCCGGACAAAAAATTGTCGAATGTCATAAAGTCAATCGTGGTTATTTTGAATGACTAGTTTTCAATGGCAGTAATCCAAGTGTAGATTAATGGATTCAAGCAGATTATGGAATAGGAATCGCGAGAAAAGTTTAAGGGAAAAATTATAGTGTGACAAAATAATAGATTCACACCAGAATAAGAAAAATATCGCTTTGATTTACCACAGATTGGACGATAGATGAGATAATCGATGAATAGAAGGACCACAAAAATTGGAGTAGTCTTAAAGAAGGTCTCATAAACCAAACTCAAATTGTAAACATTACACGAGTTATCACAAGTAAAAAATGTCAAAAATACAAAGCAATATTTCCATTTTTATCATATCATATTGAAGCAAATGTCCATAAAATATGGTGACCAACCAGAAAATTAGAACAAAATAATATCCTTTCTTAAACAATTTACCCTTTTATAGATTTGAACTTTTATTTTGAACATTTCCAGTTTACTCGTTGGTTACCACTTGGACTTCTCCTATGACATTTTTCATTCTGAAGCCACAAATCTGTTTTTACACACTAGCACCACTCACTTGCGAGTCACTTCATTTCACTGCGAACGTTGGGAAACCATCGAGTGCGAACAAATTCTTCATAGCTGAATGACACCACATCCTTATCATTTTCCTTGTCTCCAGAAATGTAAAGAACTATATTACTAGGTAACGGCTGTACATGTTCTTACAGGTCTGCAATTAATTATATTTTTAAATGCATTCTGAATTAAGAAAACATTGTAGCTGAATTATAACTATTTGTATTTTACAAATGTTTACATATTTTGGTACAATTACATTGTTTACCTACCACTACATATTTCTTACATTTTATTGTAATTGTACATCGATAAGAAACATTTTACGCGTTTGCTATATGTTACAGAATTATCTTTCTTACAAAGCAATGAAACGTCACAGCTCTTCTATGACAATACCTTCGCCACGAACTGTCAATCCTATACCTCCCATCTGGTCCTAGGAAACTGTTTTTGGAGTAACGAATTAGCAGGGATTTGTGAAGCAGAAGTAATTTCAACTGCGAGCTTCATCATGATTGAATATTCTTTACCTATATTCTGTAATCGATCGAAAACTAATAATTTTTGTACATCATTGTCTTATCGCGTTGTTTGATTTGGGGGGTCCTTTTACACCTCCCCCTTCGGAACCCATCACTGGCTACACCGTACTACCAATCCCTTTAGCACCAGCTCCACGTAAGCAACATGTATACTTCGAACGTATTTTATTTCGAAAAAATCTGTGATGGGTGTTGAAGATTAGGGTACAGTTACTTCTATTAAAGTAGAATTCTCTTTCTGCCGTTCCCAATCCATCTGATGGGCGACCTTCTATGTTCAGAAAATGCTTGTTGCAGAATTTTTCAATAATATAATGAATTTCTATTATATTATTACTACTTTGGAAAAATAAATACATATAAGTGTTATGGTGAGTTATCGTTGGCATTTCTAATGAAGTAATTATATGAGTCGTCATTGCCAACAATATTATTTATTAAAAAAGCAGCTTAGCCTGTAACTGATGATGATGCCTAAGCCATCGAAAGCTGATTTTTTAATAAATAATACTGTTGGCAATGACGACGCATATAATTATTTCAAAATAAATACATGTATGCACATATTTTGCCTTTTTATTACAATAAATACTGTTCCCTACTAATGCGTACACGCTCCGCGAACATAACATTACGCAATCAGCACTCCCTCAGCCAACGGCCAGCCAGCTCCGCAATTTGCACAACGAACTTCATTATCATTCTCAACACCAGCATTCTTGTTCGATCAATGACATCATATGTCACCGATGTAAAACATCCCCCACACCGTCATCTTCCTTATACCACCCCAGTTATAATAGCAGTCTCGGCTATGTCGCCACCTTCATCATATTCTCCATCACTCTCACTGGCCCCGCCGCCCACTCCGCGGCCCTACTGCAACCACCTCCGCCTCCGCCCCCGCCGCCTCCGGATGCCGGAGCGGCGTCTCCAAAGGCCGAGCCGGAGCCGGGAGGCGGAGAAGCGCCGATATAAGGCAGGCGTCCCCGATCAGGCGGACAGTACGCCTTCGTCACGGCTACGGCAACCAACAGCACCACGCCACTGCCGACATGCTATCCGTCAAGGTAACACCACGGGCAGGGGACGGTTCGAAATGTGATATCCAAAGGGGCTGCGGATCCTGGTTCCGAATTTGGAAGTCAAAGTCGAAAGTCGCAGTTAATGAAATTCGAAGTCAATCATGTTCAAACGTAATCAATTGGTTTAGCTTCACTGTAGGTGTGGTGGTGTGATATCTTTGGCATTTTTCATAAAATAATTAAAGACGTTGTCATTGCCAATAATATTATTTAATGCAATAGCAGCTTTCGATGGCTTAGCCATCATCATCAGTTGAAACTGAAACAACTGATGATGGTGGCTAAGACATCGAAAGCTGCTATTGCATTAAATAATATTGTTAGCAGTGACAACGTCTTTAATTATTTTAGCTTCACTGTTATATAACATTTAATGGATTTTATTTCTTTAGATTAAGAACCTGAAAACATTCGTTAACTGGTATAAAATACACTAACCTTGGAAAATATTATTTGTTTTTTACTTCCCTATTTTCGTGCATCATTCTTTTCAAATTCGGATACAATATCATTTGGATCGACCCTTATTCATTTTATTGTTTGTTTATTACACAATGCTTAAAACGCTAACTTTTTTGAAAATAAACACTCTAGCTGTTATTTGATGATCATTTATTATTGTATAGAAATTTGGTACATGTTTTTGTGGAATTAAAATTCTCCAAAAAATAATAGCTCCAATTAACTTTTTTCAAAAACTACATTTTTATTTGGAAGGGGGGATATTCAACTTTTTACATAATATTTCGTTATTCATTTTGATTTTCATCCTGCTCGAAGACATTTTGTGTCTAATACTTGTTTAAAATTATTTGCTAAAATTTCATTATTTTTCTTAAGGTTCTAAAACCACGGTTCATAATAATACGTTTTATAAAGACATGTACTTATGATGAATATTTTTAACTCTATTTAAAGATTTAAAGACAATTTTCCACAATCTTTTGACAGCAAAATAATGTGTCAGGTTTTCAGTATTTCATTTTTTTACTCCTAAAAGTTAATTTGCTCTTACATACTCCATAATTTAGGTAAGTTTACTACTCTTCATCATTTTTTTGTCACTTTTATACGTACCTCTTTGATATTTAAGTCATCCTTTGGGATATGAAAATCATTTTGAATGCTAATGTAATACAAAATCATTTTGTAAACCTCTATGTTTATACAACTAATGTTGATTGGGTCAAATACGATAATACATTTCCTTGAATTTTGAGAAAATATTATCTAAATGGAAAATCATGTGGACCAACGAATATTCCCGCCACTGTCTCATTTTCGCTAGTACGATATGAAGTTTTTGGTTGCATTCACATCTAACTACATTTTTTTAAATTGTAAATATTGTATCCATAGTTATTACAAAAATCCAAGGAACCCAAAGCCTTGTGAGCAGGAAAGTAATAACAATCATTTTAAAGAAACGTGAAATAATACAATCAATTGGCACATTTAATTAGTTTCAATAAATACAAATTTTTATGTAACGTAAATTTTATGTGTATTATCAACTATTATTGGCAGGTTAGTGGATTGTAGTTATTGATAGAGAACATTACTGCTAAGTTCATGATGCATTGAGAACTTACATCCGCTAAGAACGCATTACAGTAATCTAATCAGAAAGGAAAAACGTTACCTACCCGATTCATTCAGTTTTCACTGAATTACTTGACAGTTGGTAGTCTGGCCACCATTTAAGTAATTATGATGACCTTCTTTCAAAACCGAGTATTCATAGACTTCTGCACTTCTGTTAATGTCCAACATTTTGATCTCAAACGCCCTCGGAAGAGAACGTCTTCTCATTCATAGCACAAACCAATTCATGTGAAGAACAGGGATTTCTCGCCGGCCATTCTTTGTGCACAAAGGAGACAAAACGGGGCAACGTTACGTATTGCATAGTGAATAGAGCGGACAGGTGCACCAGAGACGCCTTGTGGCCAATGAGCGAACCACTTTCTCTCGCAGGCTGCTACAGTGGCGCTCTTCGCGGCGTTGCTGACAACTGACTTCGCAGCAGCGGACATCGGCATTGCCCTCCGCGGTGGCGGCGGAGGCGGCTATGGAGGCGGATTCGGAGGTGGCGCGGGCGGGCCAGTAAGTCTGGACCGTTTCGAGGAGCGGTCTCTTGTGGAAATATAGGGGTGCACATGGGGTAGTAGGACCATTGCTCGGGAAAAGTTTGAAAGGGGCCTCGTTGCCTTAAGTAATAAAACAATTTATATCCCTAAATATGATCAATATCTGAATTGCCTCTTTTTAACTCAACAATAAAAGAAATTGATATATTTTGGGAAGATGTTCAGCAAACCATCAGGGAATTATGTAAATGGTTTAACACAAAATTAATTAATGTTTATCTTATTGTTCCAAAAGGTCCAGCCTTTTCTAATGTATAAAACCAATTGTATTCATAGACAGAATCATTAGAATAATAACTTCATTTTCCTTGTAGTATGTTATATTCATTCACAAACAAATATTTGTATAAAAAAGTACATTGGAAAGGCGGGCTCAGAAATGCAGTGGTCTCTCGTTATAAGTTGCGCAGGCCTATAGTTGTAAATACTAAAAATGAAAGTATATTTTAATGTAGACTGAATTATCCGAAACCATAGAATAGTTGGTAGTTACCGATTTCATTATAGCTATTATTTGTTTTGAAACACGTGTTAAAACTATTTTCAATAAATCATTTACAAGTAGATAGGTCAATATCATATACCTAATGCTTTAAACAAAAATTATAGGGGCATCGTTTGTTTCTAAAATACCCTTTTTAAAAAGAAAGTTCAAATACGAAGAATGTTAATATATGTTTATGAACGTTTATTGGTAATTCTTTTAAACTATAGTACTCGTCTTTGTTATTGATACTATTCTACTTAAAATACGCATAGCACAAATTCTGCTGTAAATATGAATCACAAATCTTTAAAATGTTCTGTATATTTTACTAATTTTTGTAAAGATAAAAGTGCAATTTCCAATAACGACAATTTTTTAAATGTTAGTTAAACAATGAAATTTAATATAATTGCATACATTTTATCACAGAATGTAATATTTTAGTAGACACTATTTTGTAATTATGATGAGCATTCTTAGATACTGCCGGTCTACGCTTCTTAAGTGAGATCTTTCCTTCGATTAGATAATCACTTTACGATATAAAATACGACGTTGGCCTCTGCATAGCGTTGCGTGTTCACTAGAGATGAATGTGTTTGGTGCAGAGCTGAAACATACCCAGGATAACTTCATTCAAAGCAGATTCAGCTGGATTACGTAACATTTGTTATATCGTTGTGAATGACATCCCACGACTCTGGTTTGCACCTTTAGAAACAATTCTTTCGGAAAATATTAAATATCAACAACAAAGAACCAATACTCTCATTTTCCTCACGCACCATTTTGATATATTTTTTATGTTATTGAAACTTTTTTTTTCTAAATGCGGTGAACGCTTTATATTCTCTGTTTGTTCTGCTCCTTTCGCTTCTTTTTAACATTGTTAACTACTTATATTTTTAAAAAGAGAATATGTATCAAAAACACTATTTACTGCCTCTGGCTCAAGGCAAGTAACCGCAGAAAGTGCATCACTTTTCAGAGGCAGTGAATAACAGGACGGATGCGTTCGAATAACAGGATAGTCGTATCTTGCTCAATACTGGGCGCTAACTGCGAACCACAGGACACACCTCGCGAATCGCAGAAAGCGGCTTGTGCAAGAGTTGAGCGAACCGATACGCAAGCAGGATTTCCAGGCAATGTGTCATTCACAGTATTGTCTATTCAAAAAGATAATGTAGTATGTCACGCGACAATCGCGAATATCATCCTGCGATCATAGCACCCTATTCGCCTTTACTTGTGAATGTACTTTAGCCTCAATTAAACAATCGTGCTTTGAAACACGCGTTTTTTTACAAACACATTATACGAGGTAAATGAATAAATATTACACTGAAATTCATGTTTCTTTTGTGTATCATTTACGGTTCAAATAGCATAATTAAATTTACATCACATTTAAGAACATGGTGTTATTTTAATTAATTTATTTATCTATTACACCTTTCGTATTGGATTTTTTCGAAATAACAACTTTTATTTAAATAAGTAAATAGTTACCTAAATAACTATTTTTATTTGCTTCAATTATTATCAAAAGTAAAATAATATATTTTTGAAATATAGATTTACATTTTTAACCTTCAAAAGCACTTGCTTATACCCGCTCGTATATATGTTGAAGCAATGTACCAGTGTTTATTAAATGAGGCAAATGAAACCTACCCGCATGGTTATGCGCAATAACTGCGAGTATATTTCAGCAGTCGGTGGGAAATAAGTTTGCTCGACAAAACTGCACGTCTTTGTCTTGAAGTAAACCTTTCGTATTGTAATGAGCCTTTCTCTGGCATGTGTTTTGCACGCGCGTGCAACTATACTAATTGCATGTTACGGCACGGTCACTCGAGTCAATACTCTACAACTGAAACACAGGATTGCATGAGACCTGTACTTCTCTCATAGAATATAGCGGAGTCTTAATGTGGGAGTTAAGTTACTGCACAGAGCACATTACAACTCAGATATACTGAAATACATATGGATGATCACACAGGCTAAACTCGGTACCTTGTTATTCTCTCGAGAATAAGGTCAACGCGGATTGACTTTAAGAAATGCTGTGATTATGCCATGCGTATGAAAGATTTTTCTGGATAGATTCTTAAGACAAGAAGCGAACGGGAAAATTGACTTTCACGTACTTTCTTTCATATAAATCAAAGATGTATGACAACATGAATAAATACAAATTACAATGACAACTATTATACTGCTGACAATGCATTTAGGCGGTTCACATTTTCTAGTACTTTCCATTACTCATTCTCATGTCGGCCATCCTATTTCGTTTTCTCAGCACTAGCAGCATTCGACCAACGTTCTCGACTCCGTATTTCGTGGAAAATATGTGGTAGTGGTCAAGTGCTACAGAAAAGAAAGACCCGACTTAATAAATACATTTCTCTATAATATGGGATCTCTATTCATGGGATGGAGAAAAAGAGGGGTCATGAAAAAGAGGTAGGAGGGCGTAGCTTCTGCAACTTATTTCCATGGTCGACAGTTGCCGAGCTGAGTCATAATTACCAACGTTTCCATTGTCAAACTGCAACCTTATTAATCCCATTAGCTCCGAAGAAGGTCACAGAACTACAACCGAATCAATCCTATACATGCCTAGAACGCGGTCCAAACAAAAACTCGGCGTCAACAAGTTTTCAAGTGTTCTAGTTTAGTGAGTTTAGTTTAGTGAGGGTGGTGACTGGTAGTTTAGTGAGGTTCGGTATGGTGTTGTGTGTGGTATGATGTGTGGTGCGGTGTAATGTGGGATGAGGTGGTATGGGGTGGGGCGGCAGGACGTAGTGTAGCTTGGTGTGGCGGGGTGGGGAGTGTGTGATGAGGTTGATTGGTGTGGTATTGTGTTGAATAGTGTAGGATGGGATGGGGTAAGCAGGCTTGATGTGGCGAGATGTAATGAAATTTAGTGTGATGTAGTGTTGAATGTTGTAGAGTGGGGTGGGGTGGGATGAATTGAGGCGAGGTAGTGTGGTGTGATGTGGGGTGAGGTTGGGGTGTGGTTTTGGGTGAAGAGGCGTGCATGTGTGGTGAGATATGGTGTGGTGTAATGAAGTTGGGTGTGGGTGGTGTTGAAAGCGATGGGGTGGGGTTGGGTTGAAGTGAGGTAGTTGTGGTGTGATATGGCGTGGGGTGAGGTGTGGTGGGTGGAGAGGCGTAGCATGGGTGGCCGTGGCGAGATGTTGGTGCGGTGTATTGAGGTTCGAGCGTGGTGGTGGTGTGTATGGGTGGGTAGTGTGGTGGAATGTGTTGGTGATGTGGGGGTAACGTGAGGGGAATTGGGGGTGGCACAGCGGTGGCGTGGCGTGGCTTGGCGTGGGGTGTAGAGCTCGCAGCCTGAGCGTGGCGTGTGTTGCAGCCTCAGCCGTACAGCTTCCAGTACGCGGTGCAGGACCCGCCGTCGGGCAACGACTTCGGCCAGCACGAGAGCGGCGACGGGTCGGGCAATGTGCGTGGCGAGTACCGGGTGCTGCTGCCGGACGGCCGCAAGCAGGTGGTGACCTACACGGCCAGCGACGCGCAGGTGCGTATGGACAAGGCACGGAGTAAGGAGCCGGAATATTATAGACAGACGGCAGGAAAGGCCCCTCGGAGTGTTATAGGGGTATGCTATTTTACCAACACGTTCAACATCTCTGACACACAAGTTACTGTTACTAGCTCTTGGGAGTGACCATTATCTTGCTACGAGAGGTAGATATCTCTACTTACGTTAATAGGTTTTTCCTTTATGTTACTTTATCAAATAAAATAATTAAATTTGAATCACACGTTACATGCCTTTCAATTGCTAATGAGTTGCTTTATACGTAGTTTTGAATATGTTTACAATATAAATAACAAATTTCTAAAGTATTTTCAATTATGGATTCTTGAAACAGGTGCAGATTTCTCTGCATAGTACGAGTGTCCTAACTCTGCACATCTTTAGCACTTATTCACAAGACAGAAAACCATTTATGTGAAATGAGAATAGAATTTGAAATATTGTTCTAAAAATTATAATTCCTTAGTATACCAAACTTTCAAGTTTTACAAAACGGAATGTGTAGTTAGAGTTAATGATCGCAATGTTTGAATATAATTTTCTTACTTCAGAAAAAAACTTAGACTATTGTTTCAACATCCTAAGAATAATTAATAGAAAGCACATGATGGCCACAAAGCCATATGAGGATGTTCTATACCTTATAGCATAAAGAAGGTGCTCTAAAGTATTAATTTTAAAGTATGTCTCTCACAAGGCGACACGAGGCGCGGCCTTTTATCCTCAATAATGAACAATAATTACAGATTATCTCTGATACATTGCTGTGTTTCTTGTAAATATGACAATAGGTATTATTTGATGTTCAGATTCTAATCACTATTCCAATCAAATCTTCAGTTCACTAATCTGTCACGAGGCATTCTTTAGTAGATGCTTTTAATTCATAATAACGTGTTTAATAAAGCTGAACAATAAAGAAAAACAGTTTATCATGTTTACAAGAAACCACACAATTTATCAAAGATAATCCATATGTATTGTTCATTAGTTCGGATTCAATAATTGACATTAATTACTTTCATTAATATTTGAAGTTTGAATCCGTACTTGTTGATGTCACTATGTAATTGCCTTTAAATAAGAGTAAACTTCCTACTTTTATAAATCGTTACAGGAAACTATTAAGAGATTGAAGCCTAAATAATTAATTAAATTTAAATCAATGTTTTTGTATATGTTTTCATCGTCATCGAAAATTCTTTTTAAGGTCGCAATAGCTAGTTCATTGGCGACCACTATAGATAATAACGACATGGGTAACAGTATGCTGTGATATAGTCAAAGTCAAGGATGAAAGGACAAACACAAATACAACCATGCCCGAACCAGGACTCGAACCCGCTATCCGTCAGTCAGAGATCGCTTTGGCACTACTGCCAAATATTATAAATGATTCACTTGTTATAATGAAACTGGACGGATTAATTTTTGCAGGGAAGTGTTTTGTTAAAAGTGGAAAATGGGAGCGTACATGTCGGATGGTGAAGGGATGATGATTTGAATTGATAAAAATTCGGCAATAAGAATGGTAATGGAATACTTTACCCCTACGTCACATACAGTTTTTACTGTTTTTTGACTGAATAAATCTCAAAATCTAAAATCTAAATTGAAGTGAAAAGTAACGGGTATCTGGAGAAACTGACTTGTGTTGATGCTGTTTTAAAGGTTGCAGAAAATAGAACCCAAACCTTTTGTTGACGCGTCGATGTTGTGCTGAAATGTGGCTTGCCTGCGCGCAGGGCTACAACGCGGACGTGCAGTACGAGGGGACGCCGCGCTTTCCCTCGGGCGGCTTCGGCGCGGGTGGCGGCTACGGCGGCGGCGCGGGTGGCGGGCGCAGGCCGTCGGGCGGCTTCGGTGCGGGTAGCCACCCCGGCTACCGCAAGTAGTCGCGCCTTCCACCGCCACCGCCACCGCCACGCCCCCCACCCCGCTCGCCCAGGGCCCCCAAGCTGTGAATGTGTGTGACTCTGTGGGACGAAAAGGATAATTGTGTTGTATGGTTTATTTTAAATAAATTATGAATAGAAAATCACTCCTCTATGTGGTTGTTTTTCTTTTTTCTCCTACGACGCTTTCTCCTCCATTTTATTCTCCCACTACTCTTCCTCCCTCTCTTCGTATTCTTTCCTCCCTTCGTCTTCTTGTTCTCCCCCACCTTTCTCTTTTTCTCCTCCTCTTCCGCTTTGTCGCCTCATCTTCCTTCTTTGCATCTCTTTTTCATCTTCATCTTCGTCCTCACCTATCCTTCTTCTTCTCTTTGTTCCTCCTCTTGTTCTATTCTCTCTTCCTCTTTGCTCTATTCTTTCTTTTTATCCTCCTTTCCTCTTCTCATCCCTCTTTCTGTTCTTTTTCTCCTTCTGTCTCAACAAACTATTCTCAATAATAAAGGTCAATTCATTCATGTCTTCCACTACTCTTTTGTACATATCAATTATTCCAATTTTTGAGAAAAGTCCTTCACGAATTTCGTAGAATGGCCTCCGAAACCTTGGCCCCTGTGTCTAGGATACGGCGTCTCCCGGTCAACCAAGTAGTTAGAGATCACTGTTTGTTTAATTTTATATTCAATTGGCTAATCCGAAATGTTCATATTTAAGAATGATCCTGACAGTTTTTCTTCCCTCTGTTTAAACAAGTGACTTTCCTGGTACATGTGAATTTTCCTGATACATGTACTTCACATTGTCTTAAAAAGATATGAATGCACACATTCTGTATTAGCTAGAGCTTGTAATAAATCAAACATTATTATTACGTATTGCGACTTGCTCGAACGTAAGTGTCACATATTGTAAATGAGTTACTTGTTACAATGAAACTGTGACCGATGAATTTTTGTTGGGAACTGTTTTTAATTATTATTTATTGAATTATTATTGAATTGTCATTAATTATAAGTGAAAAGTGAAAGTGTACCTTTGGATGGTTAAGAAATTCATACTTAAATAGAAGAAAATTCAGCAATAATAATAAAAATTGAAGTAAAAGAGTAATGCCAAATGAGTATCTGGAGAAATTGACGTGTGTCAACGTAGTTTTCAAGGTTGCAGAAAATAGAACGAAAGAGTATATTTTAGATAATAGAAAAACGTTTTTAAGTCAGAATCCACTGTGGTAAACGTGGGGTATTTTAGCTAGTGAGAAAACAAGGGAAATAACGGTATTCAGGGCACGGTGTTCTCGCATGTGCAACTGAGCTAACAAAAAAATATTTATTTTCGAGGCATTCATACCAGTGATACATTATGAAACTGAAATTTGGACAAACGTTTTTGCATGTATTACTTTCAAATAGTTTGAAATGTGTTAATTATCGCGTAGGCATACGGTCTTTTAACGATCCAGAATTAATCAATTTTTGAATCCTAAATAACCGTTTACGAAATTCACCACCCTTAAATTATCACAAAAAAACAAACAAATAATTTCGCAAAAACATTCAGTCGAAATGCTACAGATTTCATATTTACAGTTTCAATGCAATTTCTTTATTGGCCATACCAAGCTGCAAATGGAGAAAACTTTATCAAGCAAAATCAAGACTTTGTATTAACTGAAGAAATGGCATATCTTCAGAGTTTGCTATTCATCTCGAACCCGCGAAGTGTGATGTAGTTACAACTACGTCATAACATTTATTTGAAACACTGCTTGATATTGTCAGTGAAATGAAACTTGACTGACCAAAACTGCAAAATGTTACCGCTGAAGTTTTGAAATGTTCAGATCCAATGTCCATGCATAGCGTTATTGGCTCTGCAGTAAGATTTTGAATTAGGATCACATGATATCTCACATGGAAATCTACGTCCTATTTCAAACAATTTCATTAATGAATATCTCTGGAACTGGGACGTGATCCTAAAAAATGATTCTACCTATACGAATGTAGAGAAAAAGAAAAACCATGAAAATGTTGCTTAGAAAACATTACGATATTTTCTGTTAGACGAGTAGAATAATTTACATCAATGGAGAGTCTGATTTTGTTAAACACATCATTACACCAAAAAAAATTGGAGAGGAATGAACATTATTTTGGGTGACAGTATTTTTCACTTTTAATAATTTATAATGTTCAAGACATTCAATTTTAATTTTCAGTTTTTATTTTTTTAAGATAATATAGTAATCGTATTTTCGCGTCTCACCAATAAAGGAATGTGAAGGAAACTAATATTAGTTTATTGTATTGGTTTTATGGTGAGTTGTCGCTTGCATTTAAATAAAATAATTATACGAGTTGGCATTACCAACAATATTATTAATTTCTAAAGTAGCTTTCGATGACTTAGTCATTATCATCGGTTTTTTAGTTCAAGAATATAAACAAATCAAAACATTAGGATCAAAAATTGCTAATAATTTAAAAAAATAAAAATAGAAGTAACATTTTAAGACACGATAGAAAGAAAACGGGATGTATTAAATCAGTTAATAATTCAATAAGTTTGTATACATGCAAGACATTTAATGAAACGAATTAAATATGTTAAATTCTTTGTAACATTGTTCTTTGTAAATTCTTTGTAAGGCGAGCCGTTTCGTACCTGATGTATGGAAGCCACAAAGTTACTACGTAGGTTCGGGCGGGCCAAGGATTGTAAGTAGCTAGATGTGGAGTGGAGGAGGGGGGTCAATGTTAAAATTCTTTATCGTACTTTACTTCAAGTCTCTGGTAGATTTAAAAAAATTCAACAACAAAAATAGCTCCATCGTTTTTGATTAAAATTTGTTGTTGGACAGAGTAAAGGACGTTTAAGAGAATGGTGTAAGTCTCATGTTTGTTAAAAATTCTGATGTTTTGAAAATTGTAAAAGTTGAACTATTTTGGAAGCTTCCCACAACTAAAATATTGAAAATAGATATTATTTCCTAATTTGAATCTGTTTCTTAAAGATATATTTTGAAATAAGGTCATGTCAAATGTTTTGAACATTTGAATACTTTTCGCGAAATGTTGCGTGAAAATGCCGGTGAGAAACTACGTGCTGTTTTAACATCACTAGTTTTTTTTTTGTTGTTGTTGTTGTAAAGGTTCCAAAATAAGGTAAGCAAGGGTATTTGTCTGGTGTTTGTATTATTGTATAGAATGTGGTGCACATTATCAGTTTCGGTTTGTGTATTTTGCGGCGTAGTGTGTTTCTAACGAGTTTTGTGCTATTACCGTTTGACTTGAGCAATGTGTTGTACAGTGTTCAGTTCTTCTAGAAAATGAGATTTTGTCGAGGGCAGAATTAGTAATCTGTGTATAATGTAGTGGAAGGCGGCATGTTTATATTGAATAGGATGTTGTGCAGAGTTGTGGGCAACAGTGTTTACATCGATTTTCAGAAAGTATTGAAAATATATTTTATTCCAGATATGCTGATATTCAGGTGTAGAAAATGGGTTGATTTGTCTTCGTTCTGGAGTCTGGGATGAATTGTATAGTAGGATGTATGTTGTTGAGGAATTAAATAAACAGGTAATTTTGTCTAGACGGCCCAGCGTACCGCCCAGAGAACAAGGATGTCGTCTACGTAGTGGTGTCGGTATATAATGTTATTGATAGTTGATGATCTGATAGGAAAATAGTCTGTTCGAGAAAGTCCATAAATATAACTGCAAGAAGAGAAGAGGTGAGCCCATATGAATTCCTGAAGTTTGTAAAATTTGTTGTCAAAAGTGAAGTAATTTTGATCCATGCATATGTTGAAGAGATTTTGGGGTTTATAACGAACGGGTAAGGTACATGACGATTTGTCCAGTACTACTAAATATCGTATTAAGCGCTATTGAAATATATTATTTGTCGGCAATGACAACTCCTATCATTATTTCATTAGTTTATTGTAGTTATTATAGTAGTTTATCATACTTTATAAGGGATGATCAGTGAAAATTACTTCTGAATGTTATCCAATAAGGTGAGTAGACCTATAATTATTAGCATTGCCTAAGGTTAGTTGAGGCCAGGTGTGTTTGTTGTTATCTAGCGCATCTTAAGATGGAGTGAAAGTTAAGACAGAAAAGTTGGTTTTAAGAAAGAAGAGCCATTTTCCTTCATTTTTCTGTTTTTCTTAACTTATTAGATATTTGTCTACATTACAGAATTGTCGTAATTCGAATCGAACTATTTTATTGCAAAAGTTTCTTTTCTTCTAATGCAGATACAAAATTATTCAAGTTCGTTCTCAAAGATATCGCACAAGTGCATTTAAATAAAAATAATAGAGTAGCTACAGGAAATAGTGAGGGAGACAAAATCTTCAGTATCGAGGCACAAAATAAATACTCTTTGGAAGAAAAACAGTGAAGAAAATCGGATGTTTAAAATATTTAAAAAAAGATAATAAATGGAGTTCTAATTTCGTAAAGGTTGCGTTATTAATATGTTCAAGTGATAAAAATAAAGGAAAAAAACAAAGCGGCGAACATTTCCAGTGATTTGCCTTGGATATGTGCTTGTGTTCCGGCATAGCGATGCACTTCCAACCTGAATTATCATTTGTCAATCCTTCAATGCCTCCTTGTCTAACAATGTCTTCCTTCCATGCCTCCGCCTGGGTGGCGAAGGAGGTTGGGGATTTGGGCCCTAGTACATGCTACACATACGCTGAAGGTCAGAATCTTGAGTGAGACATGACATAGGGTAGGAACAGTCTGAGCGCTGCGAGAAGTCACGTGATAAGAACAAAACCGTGTATATTCTCCTGTTTAATTATAATAACCTCTGACGTTTGATCAACTGGGACGTAGATATCGGATCTAGAGCTTCAATATCAATAATTGTATAGTAACGAAACTTGCGATTGTATAACTGCGTCCAGCTGATCAAAGTCAGATGCCACTACAATTAAATTAGAGTATAGCCATGAGCATGTGCACTAAGCAGGGACGTCGC